TTTACTGAACTGAGCTGAATTGAACTGATTGGAGCTGAACTGAACTGAGCTGAAATGAATATTTTATGAGAGAAGAAAATTAGGAGCTGAACTGAACTGAACTGATTGGATATGAATTGAACTGATTTGGAGCTGAATTGAACTGAAATTAAGTAAATTTGAACAGGCCTTTAGTATAGGACTATAGGTATATACTCACGTCATGCTTATTAGATACTCATAATAAGTAGGGAGGACTCATGTTCGATCCCCCACAATAACAATTGGAAGGAGAATGTAACTTAACCACCACTCAGAATTGATCCCCGAATCCGGATTAGCACAAAGGGTAAAGCGGGTGGAAAAAAAAAATAACTTGCATCGTACCATCATAATATGCTTGGAATGTACTGTAATTCATATTGACATTCACATGAGTTTCAATTACAATTTAATTAAAGTAGGTCCCTAAGCTATTTTCTACAGTTTTTGCTTTTCCTCTCCTGTTATGACAAGTCTTTGACTTTCATTGTGAGATCTACTTGTTAATTGCTTTCCTAATGTAAAATATACTTGTATATGAAAATAAAGTGATTAAAAGTTACTAAATGTGTGGAATAATATGTGTGGTGATTTGGTTAACAAAATCATCATATATAGATAGTTCTTCTCTCAAAATGGAGAAAATTGTTTGTGTAGGTCTACCTATGCAAATTCTATTGCCAAAAATGGCCTGGGTTCAATTATCGAATTATGAGAGGAAAAAGCCTAAGACATCTTGACTCTTGAGAGCTCTTTTTAAAACATCAATCCATCATTATTAAACATCTTTAATATTCCCATAATATGATGCAAGTTTGTGGCTTTCACTTTGTTATTTGATTATAACAAAATTGATTGCATAGAGAATTAACCTCTATAAAAACCAGTATATTATCCATTTCACATCGACCCTAACCACATCAAATGACTCGTCACTATAATATCAATTAATTGAGCGCGATTGGTGGAATCTTGAGGGCCAGGCAAACTTTGTAAAACTTTGTAAAATCTCTAATAATTTCAGAATTGCCAGGCAAAATGTTCATCAGAGACAATTGTTCTCTGTAAAGGCAACCATATCCTCACAACCCATTCACTAAGGAGCAAGAAAATGTATGTATGTCTTTCAATTTTGTTTTATTCTTTAACATTTTACTCCTTAAAATTAAAATTAATATTATTCATATTTACCCAAACATGATAACTTGGGTGTGCCCACTTATGAATGAATCATTTATGTATATACATTTTTTGTTTTCTTCTAAAATTATTTACGAATTTTATTTTTTAATTTTAAATGAAGGTTTTTCAACCATTAAAATTTCAGAAATCCAGGTGTTACATCTTTTGTCTCATACTAAGATATTGACGTCCAAATATTCTCATTATATCATCCCATAAAAATTAATGTCAAAAATCAGTGAAACATTTTATACTATGTAACACTACATTTATACCAACTTCATATACACACAGATATTAGATATATATCCTGAATTTCATGCATTATTATTTGAATACTTTCTCCATTTCTTTTAGTAAACATATTTTTTTAGGCACGATTGTTGATGTATGCCACATAATTTTAAACGTTAATTCCTTTAATTATAAGAAATATATCCTTACCAAAATAATATACGACGTACAAAAAATTTTATATTTAGTAAATATATTCATTGGGACAAATCAAACAAGAACAAACTCTTTTATTTTTCTAAGTGTATCATTATCCTGAGGAAAGTCAGGGCCTGTTCTCTTATGTTGAAATTCAGTTCAATTCAGCTCAGTTCAGCTCAGCTCAGTTCAGTTCAGCTCCTAATTTCCTTCTCTTATAAAATATTCATTTCAGTTTAGTTCAGCTTAATTCAGTTCAGTTCAGCTCAATTCAGTTCAGTTCAGTTCAGTTGAGTTCAGTCAATGAAAACAGGCCCTCAAAGTAACTTCTATAATATACTATCCAACTTCAAAAACTTGTTAACTCAAATAATGATATATATACCGGAATAATTTTATTTTTTTTTTTATTTGAAAGAAATCCTAAAGGACACTAAATTTCATTAATATAAGCCATACAACATCTACAATTGATAATGAACGATAATGAAAACGAATTTAACAAAATCAAACAAGAATTAATTGGAGAAGGGCTAAGAATCCAAATACATACATATAACAATTCGGCATATTCTCAAATCATTGTCTCATACAACTTTTTAAGTAGATCCGTCGTCGCTTCATAATTTTAACTCATCCTTATTTGTATTTTTATTAATTTTATTTTGCAGGTGCAAGGATATAAGTGCAAAGGGCAAGCCAAATCTCTGAAAAATAAATGAAGAATAGTAGCTATCACTAGACAATGACCATCCAAATTTAAACTAGACGGTCAAGATCAATTATAAATATCACCATCATATCTAATAAGTAGAAATTGACGGTTGTGATTGAGGGTGCATGAAACCCATCATGTGGGCGCAACAATAATGTGAAAAACCCTTCACAGTTTGGAACTTGGAATTAAATATGCTCATTAATATATGGCAGAATGCCGTTGAAGAAACCTCTAATTATTAATTTAATGTTCATCAAATATTTGCTTATTTTTATCTCAAAGTATAAATAATTTGAGTATATACATTATCTAATTATCCATTATTATAGAAGTGTGTGTTATTTTTAAGTGTAGTTAGTGCATTTGTGATTTGTAGATGTTTGTCATTTAATGGGTATATGGGTTGTCTTTATTAGTGACAAATACACATCAATTTCTTAGAATTAATTAAGTCTATGTCAGATCTTCTAAAAGTTGTTTAAACAAATGACAAATCTTAGTGGTTGTTTAGTTTTACGTAAAAGTTGCGTTATAATTTCTTGGAAATGGTAATCATTAAATATAATATTTAACGTCTGTATGTCAACTAACTAAGTTGATTAAATTATATGTCGTACTCTTATTGAGATAGATTCAAATTCCATTTATATTATTGCGCATTTGATAAGCGAATGATGTTATAGTTTACATTATCGAGTGTTTAATTTACGTGATACATCGTTTACTTTCTTTGAACTAAAAAGTGGCAACTTTGCTATAAAGCTACGTTCCGCCTAGTTTGCGGATTATGTCAACGGCAAACTCCTAGGCATTTTTATAGTGAAAGTGTGTGCCTTTTATATTTCGGGGTTTGATACGTGAGGCTCCAAGCAAGTAATAGTTGGTTCGTGGATGCGCATGCACGATCCACATGGTGCATCCGCTCCAAAATACAAAAAGGCGGAATGAACATTCAGATATATATTAATGAACATGGTCATATAAAAGAACATAGTAGTCATTTATAATGTACATGGACATATACATAAAAGAACATAGTGTTTATTTGTAATGTACATCAGTTTTTTATGCAACAATTTTGTATATATATTTTTTTAAAAGAAATTTTGTATAATGAAATAGATAAATAGTACTATAAATAATTTTTTTTACCATACATTAATTACAAATCATTTCAATTTTTTTTTACCAAAAGTTCACTTTCTCTCTCCAAAGAAAACTTCAAACCCATTTAAATTCCTCAAACCTCAAACAAAATTTCAAGAAATTCGAAATTTTGAGCCCAAAATTGTTCAAGATGACAAATAAAAACGAAAGGTAAGACCAAATTCGACATTTATACTTGTTTATTTGACATTCATACTTGTTTATTTTGAGTTTGAGTGTTTGTTTTTTATAAATTTGATTGAAAATTGTGATATTTGATTTTATTGAAAATTAATTGATATAATTTTGTTGTTGCAATGAGAAATAAAATGAAATTCTTGAAAAAGATCAACCGATTAATATATTTTGGAAGAAGAAAGCAAGCAAATAGACAAATTTAGAAAAATTTGTAGATCCAAATAATATAATGTACATTAAAATACAGTAAAATGTTCTTTTTTCATATACTTATATGATGCAAATAATACAATGTACATAAAACATGTAACCAACATTATAACATATATGTTCATTAGAATATAATACAATGTACATTATAATACTATAAAATGTACATTTTCATATACATACATGATCATTTATACGAAATGTACATTTACTATATGAATAATGTTCTTTAATTTTATCATGTTCTTTACTAATATTACAAATGTTCTTTAGATTTACAAAAAAACATATAAAACTGGATGTTCTTTATAAAATAGTTATATATTCTTTACAAAACAACTATATGTTCTTTACTGAATAGCTAAATGTTCTTTCCGCCTTTTTTTAAAGAACACTGGATGCACCAAGCATGGTGCATCCGCCTCCACAGAAAAAATTTCACCAAGCATGCTACCTTTCCTAATCTCAAACCCTCAAATCCTTAAAATGTTCCTACAAATTGCTATTTTAACAAGGTTAGCAAAACTTCAAGTTATTTAACACCAACAAGATTGAAAATAAATCTAAAAAAATTGTATCTCCAATTTCGTATGTTCTAATCGGTTTTCATGCTGAAAACAACACGAAAAAGTTCCAGATTTAATTAAACTAAGATAACAAAAAATCGTTAACATTTACTCATACGGTTATGACATTTTAACATTTCATGTACACTTGTACAGATCAATTTAATCAATAAGACCGTGACAATTATTCAGATAATAAGTACGCATTTTTTGTGAAATATTGTTGAAGACGTTGGTTAACCCACGGGCCAGGTTAACAACCATAATGAAAGAGATATAGAGAAAACCCTCACACATCTTTCTTTCACGAGGATGGTCAACAATATAGGTTGATGATCATTCTCAATAAAATCTTATTATATATACAAATATATTTATATTTTGCTATTTAATTTGATTGGACGACATTGTTTATGAGATGAATTGACTAGACCACATCATGACATAACACAACCTCCATGATTCCATGAAACCTCTTAGATTGCTACGCTTTCATGGTTTCATACTAGTTTATACATATAGTGCCAAAATTTTCTAGTTCAGATGTTCTTTTATGAAACAAAATATTTAAGATCACCTAATTCATGACAATGGTAATAAATAGCACTTGTAAATTTTATATACTACGTATAATTGAATGGCCATTACCCAAGACAAAGGGCAATTCCTAAATTAGCAAAAAAACAGAACAATCTAACTTAACAAAAAACAAATAACAAATCTAACATTATACAAGTATTAACCAAAATTTTTAATTTGAACCCCTCATTTTTCTGATTTCTCCAATTCATGTGATATGACATGTGCAGTTTCCTTTACAAGTACTCATCACAGACTTTCATGAGGCCAATTTCAGAGGAAAATATAAACCTAGTCTAACCAAACTCGAGATATATAGATAGATTGTACATACAATAATAACATTCAATAATAGATTGAAAATTTTTTAACTTCAATCTTTTTCAATGTGCATAATAATCAAGTTAGCATTGACCCTAAAAATATTACTAATACTAATATTAATACTACTTAATTAATAATAAACCATAAGGAAGATCTATTAAGATCAATTAATACTAACTAACCCACCCTCAAAATTCACTAAACTAATATGTAGATTTACTCATCAATCATACATGATCATCATCCTCATCTTGCTCATCAACGTCGCCATGATCGAGTATTGAAGAAAGACAAGGGGTGGTGAGCGAGGAAGAAGGCAAAGATAGAGGTGAAGAAGGAGAAGAGTAGTTAGAATAAGAGGATGATGTTGTTGTTGTTGTAGTTGTTGTTGTTGTTGTTGATCTTGTTGTTGGTGTTGAAGTTGAAGATGATTCAAAAGAAGCAAAAGAAAGATTAACCAATAAATCAATAAAAGCACCAACAATATACCCATGATTATTTTTGCCATTAATCTTTAAGTAACACCCCAAAAGTTGTTCTAACCCTTGCCAATCTTTAACACCATGAGCTTCCACCATTTCTTCCATTGACCTTCTAAAATCTTCATATGGACTATTTGAGTCCATTGATAATACCTCACTCTCTTTGTAATCTACTACTAATTCCGAATCTTCCGATGAGACCGGATTTATAATGGGTTGTTGGTCTAGTTGTTGTGGTTCAAGTTCTTGACTTCGTTCGTCTTGTAAGTGGAGTAGCAATGAGCTACTCCGCTCAGGCTCGAAGAAGAGCCTATCGGACCTCAACCCACGAATGACGGACTCAAGGGGGTCTCCGGAATCTTCCGACATAGTCGAGAAGCTTCTAGAAGAGGAAGAAATGGTGAAACAAGATTCAGGAGGGGTCATTTCAGATTCAAGAAAAGCAGAGTTGAAGGTTCTAAAAGCATCATCATCATTATCTTTGGCTCGAAAAGAAAGAGTCTTTATGTTTCCACAAGAAGGAAAAGGCCAAGGTTGGGAAGATGATGAATTTGAAAGTGAAGAAGAAAATGTTTTTGGGTCTAAGCTTTTAGATTGAAAGAGAAATGGAAGCTTCATTTTCTTCTTGCCCATTATTAATGGAAGATTTATTTTTCTTTGAGGAATTTCGTCGAACAGTTGGAGTGGATGGTGAAGGAAAGGAAATAATATTAATGAGTTAGATTGAATTTTGGTATGGAAGTGTGGTAAGATTGCTTGGGTTTCATTTAATAATGGTGAGAGAAATATTTGAAGGGAGGAAGAGAGAGAAAATAAAGGGGGGAAAAGAGAGTGAATGTAAAATATAGATAGATGTGGGATTTAGGTGTGGTAATTGAATGTAAAAATATAGCAATTTTAATGTTGGAGACAGTTGCCTACATTCAATTTCTGTTGTACTTTTTGCTAAGCAAAGCAAGTGTGTGTCATTTATGGTTTTGTTTACTTGCTCACTCCAACGGCTCAACCCGCCCGTTCTCTAGCCAATTTTTTAAATACTCCTTTGTTTCTGAAAGTTCGACTCTCTTCTTATTTTAGATTAATTTGAGGTGAAATAATAAATTGAATTGAGATTAATAGAATGGGAACTATGTGGTTAAATGATTAGTGAGTTGATCTTTCATAAACGAAGAAAGTTTACATAAAGTGATATGGTACATAACTACTCTCATTTGCTCTACAAAGATATATAAAAGGAACAATGCAAAAAGATTTAAATATTTCCTTTGAACACTCTACCAATAAAATGTCATATTAAATGCTAAAATTTACCATGGAGTAGTAATTTATTGGATGTTATCTATCTTTACATTAAAGTACCCTTAGTATTTACTCAACTTATTTTAAATCCAAAAAGAAAGGGGAAAAAAAAAAAACCTTAACTTTTTTTTTTGAATAAAAACCCTAATATTTATATTAGCTTATCTAAACTAAAATTTATGTTAAGCAATAAGGAGCATAGTCAACCATAAATTGTTGACATTCAGCTCCAGTTATGATGGATTGAAAGTGTGGGTTGTAAAACACCTTTAATTTAAGGAAATAATCTTAACTCCCAATGTCTCAAAGATTAAACAAGAGTTTAAATCTTAATGAATGATTGATCTCCCTTCCTCATCAATTTAAAAAAAAAAAAAAATGGGCACAACTTATGGAAACAAAGACTAAATAAAATTAGTGGACATCAACTTTCAAAAAATAAGTTTTGGACATTTTTGTCTCACATTAACCTATTGCTGTAAGAAGTCACCTTTTAGATAATGATTATGATATCTATACACCTTTGGTCATAAATGGCATTAAATATAAATTATAAGTGGGTTTTTAAATTCTTGAGTAAAGCCTAATATTTCTACTTAACATGTTCTATGTAATCCTTACTCCTTAGTTTTGTATAAATCCTTTTCTTTAAAATAAAAACTACACGGACATTCCCTAGGGTAAAATTACTTGTAAATTAACTAGGCTTTGTATAATGTACAAGGATACAATTATCTGATCTTATTGCTCTGATATAATTTGATCAAACCTATAATTTTTACAGTATGATTCAGTACAGAGTATCATATTTGAAAGAAAATTATTGGAGTAAATATTTACAAATATCTAGTTTTCAAAAATAGCAAACTTCGTGCATAAATGCAACCTAACCTAATTAAATTAGTATCTTATAGATGTATGTCCCTCAACAAAGACAATACTTAGCATCACACCAAACATCATCTCGTCAATAACTTTTGGCGGATCTTGGCCAAAAACATTATTAGAGGGGTCAAAATTTAAAATCTCTTCTTAATATTAATCACTACATCCCAATATTTTCTAAGTAAATATAGGTTATTTTAGTTTATCAACAAATTAATTTCAATAATTTATGGGGGCAGACAATTGACCAGATTGGTAAATAAAAAAGACCCTTAGCGACAATTTGGTAAAAAAACTTACTCCGGCGACAATTTGGTAAAAAAACTAACCTTAAGCGACAATTTGGTAAATAAAATAATCTCAGGCGACAATTAACCCAAAAAATACAAAAAAATTCCGATAAATTACTCGCGAATGCTTAATATAGTTCGTTTTTCTTGTTATTTTACCAACCCTTTTTTACGGAAATAACAATTTGAAGAAAAAAAAACGTTAAGTATCAATTTTCACTCAAGTTTCATACCCCTTATTAACGAAATTTTTTTAAAAAGGGGTTGGAAATAAAAAGGAATGACATGTAAATTCAAAATTTTAAATGGAAAAAATAAATTTAAGAACACAAAAACAAAATAAAATAGGATTTTTAAAGAGTTTGTCTGAAAAAAATAGATTTTTTGGTCTAAATGTCGCCAGAGTTTATTATTTTTACCAAATTGTCGCATATTGTTAGCTTTTTTTACCAAACTGTCGCCGGAGTAAGTTTTTTTACCAAATTGTCGCTAGAGGTCTTTTTTATTTACCAATCTGGTCAATTGGCCATCCCGAATGACCCCGGTGGAAAGTCCCCCTCTATTGATAACCAAAATGCATTAGCATCCAACAATCACCACATTAACTAGTAATTAATTAACAATTGCAATGAAGAATTTGGACACATCGTGACACATCTAGTTTAAAGCCAAGACGTCTTAGCACACAAAGTGACGTAATATAGTTCAACCAACTATATACCGAAATTAGATAAATAAGACAAATTAAGTGACAAAATCATTACATATTAAGAAGATGGTGACAAATTTTATAATGGTATTTAACTTAAGTTGGAAGACATTTAAGCAGCCTTATTAGCTTCTCGATAAAAGATATCGTGGAGGCGTTTGTGAGTATATAGAAACACAACTCTATTAATCCATGCATACACTCATGCATACACATTGTTGAAGAAGTCATTTAGATATTAGAGCATGTTTGGTAAGAGTGTCTTTCGATTGGAAACATGTTGAATTAAATCGTTATCGTTATCAAGTGTTTGGTCAGAAGGTTTGGATCGGATAACAATTATCATTACTTAAGGGTAATGGTTTTCACCTATATGTTACTTAAACCTTACGTAACAGTTACTCTTTCCCTCCACAACCAAAATAAAAGAAGTTAGGTTTAAGTAATTCATTTCTATGATTAAATCAAACAAATGAAAATGTAGAGTTTAATGATTCCTTTCCTCCCTCATATTTGTTTTCTTTCCACTTTATTTTGAATATTCATACCAACACCGCCTTAGAGGTTTTCATTCCCTTATAGAAATATATTACAAAGCTACATTTTCAAAATCGTCATTTTATTATACTTGGGTATTAGAAATCATCGAATCTTTCAATTTCTCAAACCTCAAAGTAAAAGAACCTCAAATTTCCTTTAATAGCAATTTTGATCAATACTTAATAACTATGCGATTTTGATCAATACTTAATAACTATGCGATTTTCACACTTGATGACTTCAATACATGACCAATACTTAGATAGAAATCGTTAATCACTTCATTTTCTAAAAGATAATTTTTTATATACTTAGAGGCAAAGTGATTTTCTAGCTAGAGATTGTTCTTTTGAGCTTCTAAGCAAAGTAAAGCAGGTGTTAGCAGAGCAAAGCAACTTATTTATACTAAGTAGAGTAGAGTAAAACAAAACTGACGACAACAACCTTATGTAAAATGCAACTAACCATAGGTCAAATTTATATATATATATATATATATATATATATATATATATATATATATATATATATATATATATATATATATATATATGTGTGTGTGTATTTTTCAAAAGAAAATGCAACTAACTATAGGTCAAAGATACATTTATGGTGTGAAAAATGAAGACCTCTTCATTGACCAAAATTTCTTATTCAAGGTATTGAGATAATTGAGGAATGTACACCCCAAATAAAGCTTGCATGATGAAACAAAAAGAAAGTAGATGAGCCCATGTGAGACTGTGGACACGAATATCTGGATTAAGTTTGGTTTGGGATACTATAGTCCAAATCATATCCACATCCTTTGTTTCACATCATATTCAGATACTTGAGACCATGGTCCATACTCTTTTCTTGGGTGGTCCCTTTTTTTTCAAAAATCTCTCCTACTCCAAAACCCATATACCCAACCTTGTACGACATCTATACCATAACACTACTTACGATTATGTTTTAATAAATACTTTGACCCCAAATACGATACTCTTTTTTTTTTTTTTGACAAAGAGTACTATTAAAGAAATACAAACAAAAACGAAAATAACCAACTACACTACACAAAAGCAACAAAGAGACCCTTGCGAGCAAACTTTATTCGAGTCAAGTTGGAGTACTTAAAGTCCACACTAGGCCCGCGATCACGCTTTACACCTACACGAACCATCTGGCAACCAGCAACTGATTTAGGGCAATCCACTGAAGAACCTTTCTTCCTAAACTATGGATGAAAAATAGCATTGTGACGGCGAATTGGCTGACCCAACGACCTGGCACTGGAATGCAAAATGGACAACTGAAATCTGAAATCACAAACTTTTCCCACAATCTCCTGTGAACTCATTCCTCCATCTTTTTCGGCTTGCACTGATGCGTAAGTTGTTTTCCATCTTTGAAATTTTATTCTACGACCAGATGGATTCGACACATACATAACCCTAATGCATACGAACTTGAAAGAACATACTTAGTATGCATAATATACGTACCTATATACTTTGTTTCTTAATGTCTAGGGGTTAAAGAAAAAACATTAATTTGAGCACGATTATTATTGACATTGAACAATAGATGTATATATATAGAGGTTTAAAATTCATATGTAAATAATGTTTTTATTTTGACTATAATTGATTATGACATAAAACTTGGGAGTAAAAGTGCATCAACCATTAGGATGATAAAACACTGACATTGAGCACACATAAACAAATTCCAAACTAAACTAAACCTAAACATCAAGCAAGCATAAATATTAAAATTGCCATATCAAGAATCTTATACTCCGTATATATCAGGACTTACCAAAAATAGCTACATTATCACTGATACGTCACAACTAACAAGCCCACATTTGTTCAATAAAATCTCCATAGTCAGCACCCCCACTTTGGCCACAAATGATATTCTCCATTGGTTGAGGATTGGGATCACTTGTTCACTTATCACCTTATCTCAAAACAGAAAAATTAAATAATTCGAGAATTCCCTAAACGCTTTGGCTCGGTTCCCTTCACCTTGAAAACAATAATATTTATTATAAACAAATTATTTTGAAGTAAGTTCATTCTTATCAATAAAAAAACACTAAGAGCAAATCGATAAAAATAATTTAAGTCCGTTAAAAAATAAATAAAATCCAACTGTGAAGTAAAGATAGCATATGTGATAGATTGTTAATTTACTGCCAAAACACTATATATACAATTTGGGAACATATCACATCGTTGTTGGGCACGCATTCCATCACCATTTTAACAAGTAGTGATAATTATTGGTAACTTATAAACAAAATTATAGAAGAAAATCTAGCACATTTACGCCTCCAACCACAAATAAAAGAGGTGGAACCCTGATGCAACAACATAACTACTACTCCATTTTGTCCTGCCTTCGACTAAGGGAGACTCCAATTCATTACTAAGCTTAGGTGCATGAAATTTCAGGTTCAATTTGGCCACCTTACACTTTCATTGTCATACAATAACACCCAATTTAGAGCAAAGTGAGCATTTCCATTAATAATCCGATATTGACATGCATTGATGCAGCCCGAGATTAGACAACAGTTCTTAAATTCCTTCCTATAATAGGGACATCGAATGACCGCCTCAGCACAGCTCAACATTCTATGAGTTGCTCTCATTTCCTCACCTGTTCTTTTCTCCCAAATGATGGTGACCCCTCCTAAGCTGCATCTATTAATGCTTTTCTGTTATGGTCTAGTAATTTCGCACGTACACCAAAACCTTGTACACTTATCCCCTAGAAAATATGAGGTGTAATGGCACTCTTTTCACATTCGCAAAGCATATTAACAAATTTTGATAAGAAACAGAAAATTAAATGTATATACGAAATAATTGGTCATGTGTGCTAAAAAAAAGTGTAGGCAATTTCAGGAATAAATTCTTGATGCAAGTCTTAACTGATTGCACGGCTTCAATCAACGCACAGGCGATACTTCACTTTTGGCAATGATTTCCATTTAAAATCCACATTTTGGCCCCTTCCACATGCAGTAGTACTTCCACAGCTGATTAGCTGATGCATTTAGCCAAAAAGCCTCTCATGTCCAAACATTCATGGTGGTTGACCACTAGACCATATCCTGCCCCGAAATAACACACTGAGGGACCTTTTATGAAGCTAAGGACAAATTTCGTAAAAACTAAAATGAATTCAAAACAAACAGTGAAAATTCTTTTCCAGCTTGATTGGGGGTTACAGTGAAGATAAACAACGCATTTAGGGGGCCAACCTTAAAAGCCCAGTCAAACTAGTCCTAGATCGTCCACAATACACAATACATTGCACTGCACTAACTGAATTAGCTCCAAAGGAACACCTCAATAGATTTTTACTTGTAGTCCTGTACAGCCTAAGAGTCGAGGGGAATATAAGAGGCCAAGGAAGTCATGAGATCTGATATTGTTTTTAAAAAAAAAAAGTTTGGAAGGATTCTCCAATGGACAGAGAATAAGCTCTTAACCAATGACACGAGTTTTAAAGGTATCTCCAAAGGGTTTCCAAAAGAACACTCCGTCCTCCCCCTCCCACCCCCAAACCCCACCCCACCCCCCCCCCCCCCCCCACCCCGCCACAAAAAAAAAAAAAAAAAAAAAATCATCCATAAGGGTGATGTGTCAAATAAAAAGGAGAGAGAGAGATGTGACAAACCCCCATCCCCTAGATCAGAACTGGTTTTAAAAAAAAAAAAAAAAAAAAAAAAAAAAAGCGAAAGAAGAGAGCTATTTCGAGTGTCATAGCAATGTTGGGATTTTTCGGTAATGATCTTGGGTCTTTTTTGCAAACAGAATGGAAGGGCTAGCAGAGATACCACTAATAGACAGTACACAGTACCACTACAAAGACTCTTAAAAGCTTGACAATTCTATTTCCTAGTTGACATATCCCATATGACTCGGCCAAAATGTAATATGTTAATTCCTTTACAAATCTTATTCACCATTCTGAATTACTGTTATCATTGTTCAATTTTACTAAAAAAAAGGGAAAAAAAAAAATAATAAAAAAAAAAAAAAAAAAAACCAATCAGCAAATACTAGTGTACCCATGGAAATGAAACTCACATGACATGGATCAGTGAGTTAAGATTGACATCTGGTCACAATATCACCTTCATATAAGCAGATTGATGCACTTGTGGAGCCCAGACACATCCAGCTTTTGTGGTATCCTACAATTATATAGAGAAGATTCTTTGTCAGTGACAGAAAACCTAGGTGTGGCCGTGTGGGCACCAATTAAAGGGAAACAAAAACTGCCCAACAGGCTAACCTTGATGTTGACAAACAGGTTCTCTTGGCATACCCTACAAGTTTTGAGTCACATGACCACTAGAACTCCAGCTTGGGACTGGTCATGAGAGCCGGAAGGCTATGGTGGCCTGCAGCATTATTAGATGAAAACAAAAGATATGCTACAGTAAGCATCAAGCATGTGCCAGGACCTACAATGATTAAGAAAGATATTATAATTTGCAAGTTCAAAACTCCAAAAGGCCATTAAGATGATATTTACAGTAAAAATAAATAACATAATATAATAATAGTTATTTAAAAAAAGTGCCTTAACCTTGATCACGGATGAGAGACAACTTCACTTACACAATATGCTGATATGGAGATCAGAAGCACAAGAGCTCCTGGGCACATAAAGCTCACAAAAGCAAGATCAAACAAGGACCAAAACTTTAATTCAAGTCCGCCAAATCTAATCAAAAAAACAAAAGTGACAACTAACAGGCACAGCAGGCACCAGAATTCTGAACAAAAAATTACAGTGTACACACTGGATATAAACCAAATTTTACAGCTTATCAACAATCAATGAAACCATCAAAAGATGATAAGCAGGGAAACGTAATCAACAGGAAACCAAAAACTGCAATTACAGCTCTTCACCTCTGGCTCAAATAGCAACCTAGGGAAGCAACCAAAACATCATAAATTACCAGACATATATAGAAGTAATAGATCCACATTGACCATAATCAAGAGGGAAAAATAACCTTACACAGAGTTGTTTACCAAAACAAGCATTTAATTGTGGCTAACAGATACTGAGAGATAAACAAGATGACAAATGGTAAGGAAAACTAACAAGGAAAGTTTTTCTAGATGAACAAACATGATAGCACTGTAAGACTATTCACAGGCATATAAATTTTACCCTACCCAGAGCAAACAACACTTCAACAAGCAAAAGACTTTAACTGCAGGTAGCCAACAAACAAAACCGAAGCCATTAAAAACTAATCTGTAATTAAAGAAACATTCTTAATATTGACAGGTGTGTACATCAACCATTAAAAAGACCCTAAAAGAAGATGCATTAATAATTCTCCTCAACATACATTTCTACTTAAAATATTATATTTTAAAAAAAAAATTAGGAAAGATGGTCTGACTTGACCATAGTAAAACCAATACAGTTGACCAAAAAAAAAGGTAGAACTTACACTATGACGAACATGAAATTAATTAATAATGGTTAAATAGTCATGATTCATGAAAATACACAAAACTAAAAGGAAAAAAAAAATCAAAAATTAAGTTGTCTGAACAAAAGCATTTAATCGGACCTTCTGACACAAAAACTACTAGATTAGATTGTGAGTATAGTAAGTTAAAATGTTGAGTTCCTCGCATAAGGCAGATCATCATTATTACCTAAATGCACAAAATTCCTATGAACAGTAGTATTCCATACGAGAAACGATAATGAATAACATATTTATGCATACTAGATGAAATATCTTTTTATGTAAAACTTTAAGTATTTATCATCTCACAGCAGCAAAAGTTTAAGAACTATTAGCAGTACAGCATTAAGCAGTGACCAGTTCAATTAAACAGAGAACCTGCATACGAGCTCATAATACTCCTATCAGCTACCAAAAGAAGATCAAACAATGGCATGATAAACGCATGACTACATGTCTACATGAGATTAACATTTTGACTATTACCCTATAAAATTAGAAATTTCAAAGTCATATGCAGACTACAAGAAATTTGTTATATTCAGACAACTGCAAAAAAGATGTAGAAACCAGAGATTCTGATAATTACATAAGCATTACATTTCACAATGATAGTTACAAGGTACACAACGTAATTGAAACTAATAGCATTTAATAAATTATAGAGGTATACATCACAGCGCAACTGAAACTACGAAGGAGTGACTGAAGCTAACAAAACCAATATCCCCCCCCCCCCCTAGAGGCCTTCTGCATTTTAAAGAATATAATTACCGCCACCTCCCATTATTAGCCTCAAAAGTACAAACTTCTGTTTGCCATATTCACAGCAATCATATAACTAAAGTGTCTTTCCTTTTTACATCACCATATCAAGTCTCTTTAGAGGAATCAGGCTTTACTCACACACAGATTCAGATGGAGCTCAGATATAAGGATTTATGTTACATAAAAGACTACGATGATCTATCTCGGAGTAATTTATAATGAAAAAGGAAAACAGTTAAGCATATCCAGCTAGTCACCAGAATCAGACCAAACAGATGGTCTTTTAATTATGCAGGAAAAATGAAAGTAAATCTAGTTAAGGTTGAATGTCAAATTTACAATTCCTGCAAGCTGCAACTATTACACTGCTTACATATATTTTGTGGCAGCATAACCTCTACCAGGTCAAAATAACAAATTGAGGGAATACTACATTTGCTGTACGCCCAATTGCCATGTTAACAAAGCCAAAAAGAAAATAAGAAAGTGCAAGGAAAAAAAGTAACAAACAAACGGAGTCACTACTTCAACACTAGAAACCTACTGCTCATACAGGCAAACAAATGCCAATCCAAGAAACAAATATTACAACCACGTTGATAAGCAAGCTGATGCTACGATGAAGGATAAAGAACACTCACCTGAAAATCTGGAATATATCTGCTACTTTGATATGCTTTTGACACTCCTCTGTTTGCACTTATCATAAGCAGCTCAAAATCTCATGTATTTCAGGCCAAGAAATTTGGAAGAAATAAAGCCAAAAATACATTGCTATCATACTTTTAGGAAATTTAGATTGAGTGCATGGCATCATTGAAACTAATAAAAGCACGAAACCTTCATATGAATCTAAAGTTAGAAAGAACATCAAAAGGGAAATTAAGTCTCTTAAGAAAACAAGCAATATCAAAACTACTTCAAAGCATAATCTATGAAGTTAGAGGTCGGTGTCATCAACACAAAGACAAGCAGTCACAATGACATTAAGAATAATAATTTGATCTGAATGATATTGCTGCTTACTTGCTTAGTGTAGTGACCCAGCATCCAACACAACAAATTTCAAACATTTTCGGGCTAGCATAATCCAAATTTCACAAAAATTGTACTTTAACTGCTGACTCAATCAGTTATCTTGATCGTACAAGTCAAACCAAGGCAGGACTCAGGCAAAGAAATTCAGAAATAGCTCAGAGTCACGATGAAATGAGAATACTTCCTGGCAATGGGAATGGATTTAAGTGTAATTTGGCAAGTCAATCAATATCATAATGTCCATAACAATGCAATCTCATCCCTAAATCAGTGATTTTCTTCATAAATGCCCATTACCAACCAACACCACCCCCGAAATGGTAATAGATGGTAATGGAAATTTGTGAAGAAAAATAGATAGTATGGGGTGAGCTATCATTACCACGGAACAAAAATTGATTTCTCTTACAAATTTATATACAAATTCATTACCATTACCATCATTTATCAGCACTTACCCAAAAGGGCAGTCTTTAAGCATGTTAATAAGCACGAAGTAAAATTTCAACTCCATCATCGTTAATTCTCTTCTTCATGGAGAAATAGAATTCAAGTGACTTAATTCTTTTTCCATCTAATAATTTTCTAACAAGCCAATTCTGAGAACAAAGTAAAATCTTGCAAGGAAAGAGAAAGATGATATTCTAGGAAAGTATCCAGATTCCAGAGTGAAGTATATACCATTTACAAAGATGAAGATTAGAAGTAAATACCATTTTCAAAGATGAAGATTAGACTCTATTTACAAGAGTATAATTTTGTGTGCAAGAAAAAAAAAGGCATATATTGCTGACAAGTGGAAGCCTAGTGTTGTGATGAGTAAATACACGTCTGAGCAGATTTTAAACTTGGTTAAGGCTCTGATGACGAGGCAACTTCCTTTCTCTATCCATTCAACTTCATAAGAAACACTATAAAACATGGGTCAAGCACATAACAATATGATCACATCAACTTTTATCCAAGACACAATAGCTCCAACAAGTAGCCTAGGTCAGTATGGATTCATGATGATGATGATGATAAAATGATGGATTCATCTGTCACAAATGATATCCCAAAATCCAATAAGAGGACACTTAAATGAACTCTCAGTCTCTCATTTTAAAGCACAAAGCCACAAATCACACTCTTCATATCCCTATTTGACATTTGGTAAGAATTGACAGATGGAGATTTAGTAGGAGATTAATGTTGCATACATGAGAAATTCTTCCTCCCTGATTAAAAACAAACTCCCTTGAAATTTAAAATTTCAATTTTCATCCAACCCAACATAGTTGAACACTTTCTTTTTTTTAATAAGGTTTTACCAATTATTGATTATTTATTACCTTTCTCTTGGGCCCATTATCTCCTTCTCGCACCTAATCACTACAATGATCACAATTATCCCAATACCTCCCATCACAGCTAACATGGCCTACATCTACTTTTCTATTAAGAATATAGTCAGTGACTCAACCACAGCTTATCACGTAAAATTCTATGCAATATGAAGAGTTTGAACTCTTGTAGAGAGAAGGAAGTGCAAAACATTAATATGAGTCAATGACAAGTGCAAAACTTAAATATTGATGACAACAAGTAGCACATATTTGGACAGTGACTCAGATTGGGTGGGGCAGTAAGATGTCTATCTTTAAAAATCAAAGTTTTTTCATACCAACTTTAATCCCGGACAGAGTTCAGCCAACAAGTGTTGCACTGCAGTCTAGGTAAGGTTGGAATCGGAGGGAGTGGAATCCACATAAAAAGGATTCTTTTTTAACCCTATTTAGTTAACAAACATTGACCACTTTAATTTAATATTTCAACATGTCCTAATGACAAAAAATACAAATAAAAGCTATAAAAAAAATTAAAAAAAGAAGCTAATAATAGCCTAAAGCCCTAAAATAATACTCCTCCATTTTCTTTGTTCTACACAGTAAACTTAAACTTGTTCTTTTTTGTTCTGCTGACTATGCATTACTTTTTATAGGCCTACCCCGTTTATCAGTTTACCCCACAAAACTACACTTCTCCACACTATGTGTTACTTTATTTACCTTTTTCTTACACATTCACCTTTTTACATTGTTTCTTTTTTTTTTTTTAGGATGCCCACCTAGTTTATGGTGGGTGAGTCTCCCAACAAGTGTTTCCCATCAATAACTACATCCAGATCCGACCCAAATCACACACCTGGCGATGGTGGGTGACTGGGTGAGTCTTCCGACAAGACATTCGACATACGGTGAGGTTCGAACTCGAGAACCCCCTTAAACGACATCAAGTTGTTTACCACCTGAGCCAACTCTTGTTGGTTTTTACATTAATTCTTAATTTATCTTATTCTCACTGACAGATAGCGTAGTTTTTTTTTACGAATTAAATAGCATAGCTACATTAAATAACCATTTAAAAAAATAAAAAATGGAGGGAGTATTTATTTACGGAAAATAATCAAACAAAAGTTAGAGTAATAATGATAAAATAATGCGTATCATATTTATTTATGGAATAAAATTAAATAGAATCAATTGTAATAGACTATGGAGCATTAAACCTAATATTTTCTAATTAAATTTTGTTATTTAAATATTTATTTACTAATATAGGCCTTACAAAGAAGAAAGAAGTGACTTGCGCCTTCTTAAGTCATCAAGTTTTTTTATTGATAAGTCATTCGTTCTACTACCTCTGGTTCAATTTACTCGCAACAAAGGAATATTTGATGTCTCACAAATAATACCCCTTTGTTACGAGTAAATTGAACCGGAGGTAGTATATGTTCAACCATTGAATAATCATCATTAAAATAAAACACACATATTAATGCCTTAATCAACATTATCAATTTCTCCATTAATAATAACTTGATAGTTATCTCAAATGCAGGTTGAAAATTATGATTTAATTATCTGTAATTTCATAATTATGTCAATTACAGATTCATGATTTTGCCTTAATTATCTCTTATTTCATTATTAACACATATTTATACATATTTATCATCTTTTACCTCTAACAATGGTTTTATCCATGGCAACGTGGACCCATGGATTTTTCAAGGTCATTTATTGTTTTATAGAGCTTATTCATCCAAGATTGGATTTTTCATAGGCATTACAATGTTACCAATACTGAATATGTACCTATGAACTCAGAACATATCTGTATAAACCTTCCCAGAAAATATGCCTCACCAAGGAACACCTTAATGTTCTTCATACACAATAGGCAAAACTTATGGCAACTGTTCAAATTAAAAAATATAAAACCATAATTCATAATCATCCAACTCTAGGGTGAAGTTGACTAGGTCATAAACGGCAAAAAAGAAATCTGAACAAGGTTCTCTTTTTCATTGTTGTGGATCTTGGCTCTGTGAAGTCAACAAACAAATTTTTATAGCTTATCCTACTAATGTTCTTTTCTCTTCATCTTAAATAATAATATTCCGTCAAAATAATTTCAATTTAGTAAAAATAAGTTAAGTTTAGTTCACTAAAAATAATTTATAATCAGTAACATTAAAGAACAAATATAATAGATAATCAGTAACAATAAGTTTTAATCATTTTAGTTCAGTAACAATAAGTTTTAATAATTTTAGTTCAGTAAAAATAAGTTTAGTTTGATAAAATAAGTTTCGATAAAATTAATTTCAATTCAGCAAAAGGTGAAGAGAATAGAGCCTAAATGTAATTCTAATCAGAACATTCTATATTATAAGACAGAAATGATTTACTCAAGGAAATGTACCAATGATACAACTACTCACCTTCACCTTCACCTCCACCTCCTGCCCTATGCATAGGCTCCAAGACCTATACTATCTCAAGCATCCCACAATCTTAAAGAATTAGACAGTCCAAACTCCAAAGCAAAGATATGCAAGTTGATAAAGACAAAAGTCCCTTCAGCTAACATGTCAAACTATACCCATTGGAGACATTCTCGATAAACTTCTCTCAACCCCAGCGGAGACTTCTTAAAGCTAAGCTCAAACTTCCAGGCTTCCAGCTATATCCAACTCTTCAAAATCTCACCCTATCATAGATATAGATATAACTCAAGGGAAGGGGTAACAATCTGGAACACCAAATACCATTGCTCCAAATTAACTAATCATAAATAAGAGATTAAACAAAAACAAATACACCAGCTCCCTTTCCTCTTTCTCGACATGAATAACTGGATGGAAAACTCTAGACAAGTAACAATAATAACATCAAATTTCAAAAATACCTTCACTAGTTTGGTTGTCTAAATCTCTAAAAAGCTGAAAATTATTGTAAAGTGATATACACAATTTTCCAATGTTCGACTGTTAAAACAGACAAGAGATAAGTAGCTAAGATAACTCCTTGTTCCAAATTTCCACCATTATTCCATAGCCTTTGAAACAGAAACCAAGATAGACCTATTTATATATCCATAATTTACCCAATTTTCTTTTTTCAATACACAAATTTGTACACTTCCAATCCTATTCAATCAATAAAACACCCAAGCTCCCTAACAAGCTGAATTACTAAACAAATACAGTCCCAAAACTTGAATATCACTAATACTGCATCTAAAAGCACTCAGTTTTTGTACCTCCAAAATCCCCAATTTCCATTAGAAGTTCATAAAGCAGTTTCGACTTCCTCACCGTCTGCGAAAACCACAAATATCACATTCAGCTCTAGTCTCAATATTTCTCTCAGGAATCGTAGGAGCAATATAAATAAGGTAAAGAGAATATAAAAGCATAAGCAAGAAAAAATAAACTAAAGAATTTTTAAAAAACGAAAATCAAAGAAGAAATGAAGCCAGATTAAATTAAAACTGGACTATACTATATTCTTGAAACTATCATCAATGACGACATATCCAAAGGCATTAATTTACATTAGAGCATGATCAAAGAAGAGAATTTACTAAGAAGTCTCTAACCCATACAACATTCCAGCATAATTGTCAATGCTGCCAGGCTTCTTGAAGAAAATTTCTCGAATCCTCTCGAACACAACCCATGTGAGCAAGCTATCGGAACCGGCTTGATGCGACTGCCCGACCATTCGCTTCACCTCCAATGCCTTCGCAACACGATCCAATCCACCATACAACCCATCACAGAACCTGATCATGTACTTGACATCAAAACACTCTCCCCCCAAAGAAAATCCGCACCAGCTTAACAAACACACTGAGCTCACTCGGCAATTGCGACTGAGTCAACACTTTAACCAGATAACCGAAATCGTAAGCACAGTGAAATGTCAGCCAAGTGATTGAATTATCGTTGCACACCAAACCAGACGACATCATCAACTCAGCGAATTTCACTGAATCAACTCCAGATTTCAAATTCAGAGCGAAATCGATGCCGTGATTTCTCAACAACTCGACGGAATCCGGCGACTGATTATCCGTCGTTACATCGAAATCCTTAAAATTGAACTGCCAGATGTAGCCGATCTTAGGGTTTCCGAGATTGGGCAGATTTCCTTTGGAATCCACCAAAGTTAACCCTAATTGAATGATCTTCAAAGCATCGACGTTCTGCTTCAACAGTGAGTAGTGTTTCCCCGGAGAAGTGTACTTCGGCCGCGATTCGCTTCCGAATTGCCGGAAAAGTACGCCGGGAAACTCCGTATCCATGGCAACGAAGGAGTAATCGTCGATCAAAGATCGAATCAACAAAAACTCAGATTCAAGATTATCAGACCATACCTCTCGGATCTTAATCGATTGAACAATGGCCATGAAGAATCCAGAACTTATCGAATTGTTAGGGTTCTTCAATTTTCACTTCTTCAGTGTTGATTGAGAGTGAGGACGTGGGACGGTAACTTCTAAACACGGTGAAAGAATGAACAAGTACACTTTTTAAAACTTTTTAAAATTTTATTAACATATGTAAGTAATAGCGTGACTTTTAAAACTCGTTACTATTTTCTATTAGAATTGAATCGGTAATTTTTTGATCGAATGTACAAATTACAAACTAAAGATACATTATCGAATAGGATACAATTGTCGATTAGGATATGATATAAACGAGTCATTGTATCGATATAAAGTCTATGTATTTGCTCCACTTTCAAAGTTTTATCCTTGCATTAGTAGTGTGCACCAAAAATCATTGAATTAGTTTAACAAGGAACCACTTTAAAGTTATATAAAACATTATTTATAGAGGGGGATGAAAGATAAAAACTTTCAAATAGTAGAGATGACTTGGGAAAGTAAATAATTTTATTGACATATGAAAGTTTTACCGTGACTTGAATTTCGCAATTTTACTCTTTTTACTAAAATTAATCATCTGATTGAAAGTTTCAATTATAAATTAATTGCTTTAATATAATAATCCAACCAAATGAATAATCGAGAAAAAGACTGATTATATTAAGGCTTCATAATCAATGATGATGTGCTATAAAAAAAGTCATTGTATCGAATCACTGTCATTTCATCCACTTCATTAATCATGATGTTTGGTTGATCATTGCGTGCATTAGTTAATTAGTTTTATGTGGCTAATTTTTTAATCATAAATATGGAGCACTAACCTTACAAAATGCTTCGTATATTTAGTTATAAACTACCGAATAGATTTTTTTATAGTGGAAATAGAAAAAATAGAGAGAGCGGAGACGTGAACAGTGGAAGAAATTGGGAGGTTTTGGGTTTTTTTTAATAATGGAAGTGGAAAGAAGATAGAGGAAAGGAGAGTGGGGACGTGGGACGGTAACTTCTAAACATGGTGAAATAACGGAAAAGTAAACTTTTAAAAATTATTGACATATGTAAGTAATAGCGTGACTTCTAAAACTCGTTACTATTTTCTACTTTGTATTAGAATTGAATTAATAATTGTTTGATCGAATGTACAAATTACAAACTAAAGATACATTATCGAATAGGATTCAACTGTCGATGAGGATATGATATAAACAAGACATTGTATCGATGAAAAGTCTATGTATTTGCTCCACTTTTAAAAGTTTTATCCTTGCATTAGTAGTATGCACCAAAAAAACATTGAATTAGTTTAACTAGGAACCACTTTAAAGCTACTATTAAACATTACTTATAGAGGGGGGTGAAAGATAGAAACTTTCAAACAGTGGAGAATGATTTGGGAAAGTGACTTAATAATTCTATTGCCTATGAAAGTTTTACCATGATTTTAATTATGAATTTTTACTCTTTTTACTAAAATTAATTATCTTATTGAAAGTTTCACTTATAAATTAATTGCTTCAATATAATAATCCAAATGAATAATCAAGAAAAAAGATCGATTATATTTAGGCTTCATAGTCATTGTATCGAATAACTGTTATTTCATCCACTTCATTAAACATGATGTTTGGTTGATCATTGTGTGCATTAGTTAATTAGGTTTATTGTGGATAATTTTAAAATAAAAAAAAATGGA